TACATGTGGTACCATTCAGCCAGAGATGCTGCAACCCCGGGAAGGTCCATCAAACACAAGTCAGCCAAGAGGTTCCAAAGCTCAATGCATAAATGTAACGGAACTTGAACTCCAATCTAGGAACCACAGCACTGTTGTTACCTTTAGTTTTGTGTTGCAGGAGGTCAGACTTGTGTGTCATCCTTGTTGGCCAATGAGGTGAAGCCCTGAAGTCAGTTTCAGAGAAGCCCACGGAGGACAGGTTCCTGGCTAACATACCTAAAAGCAGAAATCCCAAGGTGCCCATTCTCAGGCATTTGTATAAAATGGGGGGTGGGGGGACACACATAAGAGTTGATTCCCCCATCCATGCTAACAGTATGGATGGAGGAATCTACATTACGGGCTAATGTATTCAAGTGCCGCGGCTGATCTGATAAGGATGTGGTCAGTGTCCAGCCGATAATTTTCCACCTGGTGCATTTGATTTTTTCTTAAATTGGCTTTTGTTGAGCCGTTTATGGCCAGCTTTAGGCCGCTTACCCACCACCAACGTTTCCCACGGTTACCATTGTATTGTTGATTACTGCACAATGTTAGGTTCCCAGCAAACTATCAATTGAAATGCTAATTACAATTGTAAGAGGTCAATAAGGTCCCCATACACCTAAAAAGGGAGTGCATCCCCAATGGCCCCCAAGCCTCAACCCCCCAGCGGTGGACAGAGTCCCCAAAGGGCCACGGTGTGAGACCAGAGCCCCCTGTTATCTGACCCGCTTCTTGTATAATGGAGCCCCTATATATTAATGGGCTTTATGCAGCAACACGGTCTGTAAAAATGGAATGTGAATGAGCCGTGTGTGCGTAGACCTGAGAAAGGGCAGAAGATCTTCTATAAAATGAGACCCCATCATTGTTTTTGCCAGAATTCCCATATCTGATCATGTGATTACATTATGGAACGTGAACCTGCTGAGCACCTACATAAACGCCCCTGTATGCTTCTCCAGTGGACTGCAGATGGATCCCTATCACTAGGGTCATCACATCACCGCTCCGAATACCATCGCATTTGCAGAAATTCGTCTGAACTTACAAGGCACTGAAATGCCATTATCGAGGAGCACATGACCAAGGACACAAAAGCAGCTGATCGTCTACCAAATCTGGGGAAAGTGTCTGGAAGGTTCACAGACGGCCCCTCTGGGCACAAATCTGGGAGGCTGATACTTAGATAAGCCGAGAATAGCTCTCAAGAAGAACGCCAACTACGTAGAGGCTGGACGGTCTCTTTCTGGGGTTCCCGAATCAATGACCCCTCTTGCAATGCTTCTGCTCAGTCTACTCCGAATTGGAGCAACCACAGGTGTGTTTAATGAAACAAAAGGAGCAAAGATGAGAGTTATAAAATGCAGAAACCCATAGAGAGTCAGCTTCTGTCTGCAAAACTATTTGGCACTCAGCTCCATTGCGTCACTGGGCCTCCTGCCACATGATCTCCCAATACTGTGCGCACAGGAGCATGCTCTACTCTACCCTGATGCTTCAACCAGTCTTGAACTTCGCTGCTCCTTACCCAAACACTTCCCACCAATAGATACAGACATCAGAAGAGATACTGCGTTCACAAGAAGAGCACCAGGCACCTATCTCGGTTCTCTCCCAGGTTGAACACACATGGGCCTGCCCATGACACATATGATCAATACACAGATAGGAACGTCCATGTAGAACTAGAAGCTCCAGTTAGAGTACACATGGGGCTTTGTTCTACCTTGTTCATTAGGGGGTTGCTTGTTTTAAGTGGGGTACCGTGTTAGGACTTGTATCTGGGGTCTTCATGGGGGCATGGCCTTCCAACAACTAAACAAGAGTCAGTGAAGCTTGGTGATGGCTACAAGTTCTTAGGAAAGTTGGTTATCCCACTCCAGGAATCTGTCCAGTCAAGAGTTGACCAAAGATGGAGGCCATCACCTCCAAACACCAAATATTTTTTTGACCATATATAAGCTTATGCATATATTCTGGACACAGACCCCGGCCTGACCCTACAGCAAAATAACCAGCAGTCGGAAAACTTCAAGTCAACCAATGAGAAGATGTCCATAGCCAAGAGGATGGAATAACTCCAACTCCCGACCTTAACTTATTCACATATCAAACATCTCCTGTCTATTGGTTTGTTGGCCTATTTTACCCAATCAGCAAACATCCTTTACAGGTCTGACTGCAGCAAATGCACAAAAGTTTTATTCTAACTGGCCGCTTTGGGTTGAGGAACCTCACCAACTATCATGGCTAACAGAAGGCCTTATAACATGTTCCCCAATGTCTACAGAAGGCATCATGGGATGTAGAACCTTTTCTTACAGTGATTTTCCTTCCGTCTCTTAGGCCCCGTTCACAATGAGCTATTTATCGCACGATTTTTGCAGCGATAGCGCTCATACTTCCGCGCGATATCGCTCTATGTAGCTTCTCCAATACATTTCAATGGAGCTGTTCACATCTCGTCGCTCAATATCGCTTGTCGCTCGTCGCTGGTAGCTTGTCGCTCCTACATGACCCTTTTTTAGAGCGATTTTGCTCCTGATTGCATACAGCCCAATAGGAAAAAGTTGCGTGACACGTCGCTCAACATCGCGCAATATCGATTTTCATGTCGCTCAGTGTGAATGGGGCCTTATTTAACAATCATCCCCATGTCATTGTTTAAATCAGTGCACACAAGGTGGAAGACAGGTGAATACTTCCTCGTTGGATGAGCCTTTTTGAATGTTTTTGATGTAGAAAGCCACAGCTAAGCTACACATAAGATATAAATCAATTTGTGGAAGGGATTGGGGGTCTTGAAATCCATCAGAGTTCTAGTATTTAAAAAGTTTGAAAATATTTTTTTTTTAAAGTTGCCAGATCCTTTTTTTTTAATGTCATCACATCAGTACTCTGGTGATAAAACACAAGCGTGAACATTTTCCAAGGACAAACATAACCAGCAAGTAGGAAAAACAAAGTGTACAAAATAAAGCCGATCAGCTACAAAACTGTATCTACAAGTGACAAAAGGTAAACGTTGAAGAGCCCATTCATTCATTCATTCTACATAATGGATCCTCGGCTTCCACCCTTATCTCCGCGCAACCGAGAACAAACATTACATACACACAAACTTTCTCAGAGTCCGCCATCTTGATTCCGCACGTTTCCGAGAAGAATCAGATAAAAATCGAGGTCTTAAGAGTGTCCCAGTTGCGAATGATCTAGATTAGGATTTCTCGGCACCAGTGCACGCTGACAGTGCTTTAGTATGGCAGTTTCGAGGGGGCCCATCACTGCAGGTCCACACAGGGCTGGACAAATCCCAGGAGCCGGGTCCCCAATGACAGCTGGTGCCCAACTTTTGAGGTTTAGTTATTGTCATTGGAGCTCCTATAAAATATCCTGCTGGCTCCTGGATTGGACAGACCGGCTCCTGAATTAATATACATTTATCTACACCTGGGTCCACATCACATATAACACAGTACATATAACACAGTACAAAGAGCGATCATGTGCAGTGCGGTAAACCACAGCAACCAATCACAGTTCAACATCCAATCAGTAACTATACGAACCACCTGAAAGCTGATCTGTGATTGGCTGCTGGGCGTTACACACCTTTGCTGAATCGTTACTACAATCTGGGAACATTCATGTTTGTGCTTTTACCCGAATCATTCATCAATTGAAGATTCTAAGAATTAGTAAATGAACCCCCACGTATGACCAGCTCCCTTTCAATGTTGTTATTAAGTCTGGGGTCCGCAAATGAATATGGAATTTCCGGAGCCAGTCTGTCCAATCCAGGAGCCAGCAGGATTTTTTGGGGGAGCCAGTTCCATTGACAGCAACTAGAGAAAACTCCAAACATTGGGGGGCAGCTGTAAATTTTAAGGAGCATTGGCGACCTGGCTCCTGGGATTTGTCCAGCCCTAGAGGAAGAGGTAGCGAAAGAGAGGAAGAAACAATGTAACAGCGATTGATACATTTACAGAGAATCCATGGCCTTAGGGTGCTGCCCGGTCAGATGATTTACTATCAGCTGACATGATAAAACGTTGAAGGTGGGCGATTATCGAGCCATCGGAATGGCAGCAAGAGTACAATCGATCACTCTAATCATGTTGTCACCGTTTGTCGCTAATGATTTCAGGTGAACGAGTTCACTTAAGATCCCAAGTTCAACCTAAAGCGGCAACCTGCCCGCCGCGCTCAATACACACTCACTGCAAACCGATAGAAGTGATCGGAAACGACTGTCGGTGGAGAGACGTTTCGATCCGTTGGGTCATAATTGTGACTCGGGCGATCGATGGCTCATGTGTGGCCAGCCCAATGCAAAAAAAAAAACATCAGCCAGTGTTCGTATTTCACACCAAAGGTTCAATCAGTCAACGAACTTGGCACAGAGCGCCCCCCCACCCCCTCCCCAGGGGGCCCTAATGACGGTCCCCAGACAATGACTGTCCTAAAATAAATTGTGCGAGTGCTAATTATCCTGTAAACATAACGTCACAGGCCGGATCTGTAGACGACCCGGGGCAAGAGTCAGCATTTCCTCCTGGGATGTGGAGCTGATCAATGACCACAGAGCAGAGGGGAAATCCTTCCTATGCAGAATCCAACCATCCCAAATCATCATGCCCACAGCCTCCCAGTGCCAGCCCTGGACTGGGCATCCCCGTTCACTGGAGCCGCCATGGAACAGAAAGAGTTTATCTCCGCCATCAGGAAAAGTTTATAATAAACCCGCAGAGAGTCAGGAGACTTGTAAACAAGGCAGTAACACGGTAACAGAAGGCGCCACCGTGCTGGTGACTTTATCTAACCCACGCATGGGCATCCTGTGCCCGCTTACTGTTGAAGAACTACCTGTGCCAACATGCCCTGAGACTTGTAGTTCTCCACAATCAGACAAATTAACTTTACATTGCAGGAAAAATAACTTTATCTCCCCGCCGGGACTGACGGGCACTTACGTTTAATCTGCCTGGGATTACGTTGTTTTCTTCTGGACATCTCTCTGCGATGGGCAGTCGGGGTGGCAGGATGGGAGGCTCAGGTTCTCCTCATGCCCACATTGGCTGTGTAGTCTGTACAGAGGTTCAGGGAAGAAGAAGAAGGATTGTCATGAACAGGGCAGCAGAGGTCTCCAGGCTCCCCCAATCCGATGTACAAACCGGGGTGGCACCCCTGTCAGCAGACCAGAGCAATGGCATATGTCATCGGTAGCGGGCTTTCAGCCATGAGCAACGGCGGGTACCCCTTGAAAGGGAAAATTCCCCCCCGTTTCCTCTAGGGGCAACTCTTTCACGTGCTAATTTCTTGCCAAAAGCCTCCAGCAGGGGTATTTGATGGTCAGGAGCCTTTAGTGAGGGTAAAGGATTACCAGGAGCTTCCACCAGTGGTATTAACTTGTTGTTACCTGGCTGTGCCAGGGCAAGCTTCTCATTTAGAGGTACTATCCATAGAAAGTGCCTCTGCCCATGGTAAGTGACTTGGCACAAGGGTAATAATCCCAGTAGTGTTCTCTGGTTCCGTCAGCTGTTTTCAGAGTAGATGCCCAGCATGTATTTAGTCCTCTGAGATCAGATCCTGCAGGGGGTAGATGACAAGTCCTGTGTACTAATAATACCCTGCAGGGGGTAGATGCCCACTATGTGCCCAGTCCTTTGAGATGAGATCCTGCAGGGGGGGAAGATGACCAGTGCAGTGTGATTAGATCCTTCTGGTGGGGGGGGGGGGGGGGGCAATCGTGTG